TTAGGTCATTTAAGGCCTAGAGGTAGGGACCTATTAAATTGGCCCCTTTTATAGGTGAAAAAATGAAGGTGCCTCAGAGAGCCTGAGCCAACAGACCAAGGTTATGCAGCTACTGGGTGGAGAAGTCTGAATTGGAACCCAGCCTGTCTGGGTCAAAACCCCATCCTCTTCTCCACTACTTTATATTTCCTGGCACAAAAGTACATCTGTAATTTATAAATATATCATACTTTGCATATGTTTTATATTGTACATTAAATATAGTAAGAATCATGAATAGCTAACACATTTTGAAGGGTGTGCCCAAAGTAGTTTTCTGATAGGGCTACATAATTTTAAAAAGTTGGGACCACCTGCTTTAAAGTCTAAAGAAGGAGAAACACGAGGCTTATTGTACCCACAGCAGGGCTGGGACTGGAGTGGAGCAGATGGGGTGCACAGGGCACAAAATGTAAGAATTTTCAATAAAATTTTTACCTCACTCTCTGCGTCATGCGGGGTGGGGGGCCTGCCCCTTCAGCACTGGCAGAGAGTAAAGGGAGGTGAGGACGCCACAGGGAGAGGAAGGAAAAGTCTCTATTATTTATTGCTCCCAAACCGTTCAATTCCTTGCCCCCTGCAAAGCCCCTACTGGGACTAGCCCTCCTCTGAAGAGCTCCAAAAGGTGACAGAGGGTAAATCTGGAGTGTGGGCAGTGGGTAAGGGGGCAGCAGGATGACAAAAGGAAGATTCTTTGCCAGCTAGCTGGAGTGGACACAACGGAAGCTGAGTTTCAGTCGTGGCTTCGTGACCTTGAGCCTCAGTGTGCTCTGGTAGAAAATGGAAATTTAAAAATCCCTTTCTGGCCAGGCACAGTGGCTCATGCCTGTAATCCCAGCACTTTGGGAGGCCAAGGTGGTTGGATCACTTGAGGTCAGGAGTTCAAGCCCAGCCTGGCCAACATGGCAAAATCCCATCTCTACTGAAAAGAAAATTTGAAAAGTAGCCTGGTGTGGTAGTGCATGCCTGTAATTCCAGCTACTCGGGAGGCTGAGGCACGAGAATCGCTTGAACCCAGGAGGCAGAGGTTGCAGTGAGCCAAGATCTCACCACTGCACTCCAGCCTGGGTGATGAAGTGAAACTGTCTCAAAAATAAAAAAATAAAAATCCCTTTCTGAGTCAAAAAAAAAAAAATAACAGATACTAGCAAGATCACAGAGAAAAGAGAACGCTCACACACTGCTGGTAGCAATGTAAATTAGTTCCACTGCTGTGGAAAGCAGTCTGGAGAGTTCTCAAAGAACTTAAAACAGAACTACCATTTGACCCAGCAGTCCCACTACTGGGTATGTATCCAAAGGAATGTAAGTCGTTCTACCATAAAGGCACATGGGTATGTTCATCGCAGCACTGTTCACAATAGCGAATACATGAACTCAACCTAAGTGCCCCTCTATGGTGGACTAGATAAAGAAAATGTGGTACATATACACCATGGAATACTACACAGCTATAAAAAATGATGTCATGCCTTTTGCAGGAACTTGGATGGAGCTGGAGGCCATTGTCCTAAGCAAATTAATGTAGGAACAGAAAACCAAATACTGCATGTCCTTACTTTTAAGTGGGAGCTAAACATTGAGTACACATGGACACAAGGAAGGGAACAATATGCACTGGGGCTTATTTGAGGGTGGAGGGCGGGGAGAGGATGAAGACTGAAAAACTACCTCTTAGGCATTATGCTGATTATCTGGGTGACAAAGTTATCTGTATACCAATCCCCTGAGACACACAATTTACCCATGTAACAAACCTGCACATGTACCCCTTGAACCTAAAATAAAAGTCAGAAAGAAAAACTAAATACACAAAATAAACAATAAAAATCTTTTTCTGGCTCCCTTGCAGATTACGTGAGTGTGTGAGGGGGTGATGCACCACCTTCAAAATTCTACATGGACATGAGTGTAACTAAGTACTGCGTGGAAAACGGCACTGCCTTGTACTCTATTGCCTTTCCACTGGGTTAATCTAGAATTAATTCTGGACTCTCCTCACCTACCATCCCTGTCCCCTTCCTACCTTCCCAACCTGATAACTGGAACTGGATGTGTGGGTGAGTATCTCATCCATGGTGACCTAAAGAACTGAGGTGGGTAGATTCTTCCCACTCTCACCCCAAACCAGCAATTCAGAAACCCTTTGGTTCTCACTGGTGCTGCCTAAACAGAATCACCATGGGCATCGGGGGAGGCACCAGGGTTGGGGAAAAGAGGACTGGCCAGGCAGAGAGCTCATCTGCCATCTCAAGCCTGACTTCTACAGAGGAATTCCCAAAGGAGACTGTCCCCTGCCCTAGGCTGATGGATATGGGAAAGTACCACACTCAGTGAAATCAATTCACACACAGAAAGTAAAGACAATGCGTGTATGGCTGAGGGAGACTGCCCCTATTTAGGGAATGAGAAGAGCATCCGAGCTCACACAAATGGTGGGTGGGGCACATTTTCATTTTTCCAGAGACTGGCTTGGAGGAGAAAGAAGCTCAGTAGCCACACACCCACAAACCAGCTCCCCAGCTCCATCCCAGCACCTGAAGATAGGAAGGTCTGAAAGTCTGCTGTCAGCAAGCATGCCTGACCTGTTGCTGAGTGTCACAGTGGCCCAAGAGTTGCTTGTGCCCCAAGAGTTAAAAAAGATGGAGGCGGCAGAGGATGGCTTTCTAAACCCCCAGTGCCAAACCTATCTTTCTCCACTACCATCATTGCCCCAGCCCTTCAATTGCTGGTGAAAGGCCAATTGGCCAGAAACTCAGACCCAAGGAAATTGTGTGTGTGTCTGTGTCTGTGTGTGTGTGTCTGTGTGTCTGTGTCTGTGTGTGTGTGTCTGTGTGTCTGTGTATGTGTTATTTGGGGAAGGGGAGTGACACTCTCTCTGGGTTTCCTCCATTCACAGCAGAAGGCCCACTGACGTCCAAAATTTCCAAATTTTGCAAAGTTGAAGAGGAATTTACCAAGCGTTTCCCTCACAGATCTCTCCTTTAACAGAGGATAAACAGGCCCAGAGGAAACACATGCTTGCAGTGGCAAAGGAGCAGCCGCAGAGCCAGGCCGCCTTCCCCACCCCGCCCCCAATCCTCACGCACATCTACTGCTCTTCCCATCAAGTTTTGCCACCGAGGCTCGCATCTGGAAACTTTCATGCAACCTGCTAAGGAGACAAGCAGGCCAGAGAAGCTGCCAAGCGGACTCCTCCCGGTCTACCCGCCCGCCCCTAGTGCGCCTCAGGTGGACGACAACTCCTGGGAATCCCGGGAGGACAGGAGAGTCTTCACCACCCGAGAGTTCAGGAGCCCAGAGGTCAGGCGATGCCCAGCGGGCACCCCCAGACTTTCCAACCCTCTCCGCTCCGTCCAGGAGCCCCTGTCCCAGCTTCCTTTTGGCCGCGCTCTTCCTCCGCAGCCCTGCGCTCTGGTGGCTGCCAGCACTGTGCGGCGGCGCACCGCGCCAAAGGGCAAGAGCTCCAAACTGGAGCCGCCTGGAGGTGGCCTCCCCTCCCCCGCCGGGTTCCGTTGTTTATTTCTTCCTGGGGAGGGAAAATCACACAGCCTGTTCGTTTCCCCAGCCGGGATGGGCGCAGAGTCGGACATATGGGCATCTCGCGCTCCGCATCTGTGTCATCAGTCGCGTTTTCTGTGGATGCCTGCGTGTGTGTACGTGTGTGTGTGTGTTTGGGGCCAGGCGCTGGGAACAAATGTGCATTTGTTAAATTTGACAATAAAGTCCTACAGCGAAGCTGCCAAGATTGGGGCAGTGGGTGGGGGTGGAAGACAGCGGGGTGGAGGAGAGCTAAACTCTCAAAAGGCGAGGCCAAAGCGCCTGGCCCAGGTATTATGTTGGGAGAAGGTGAGGAGAGCAGCTGCTCCTTCTCGCGGGCTGTGTATGGGAGCGAGGGTGCATGTGTCCCTGTGAAGAGTACACACCGATCTGCTCAACATATGTCGCCACAAATCACAGTATCTCTCCCTCCTCCCACCCCCCGCTCCCTGCGCGGCTCCTGACCGAGCGCAGAGCAGAGAGGGGCGCTGAGAAGAGGCGCCGCTTCAACAGGTGTCTTGGTGCGCAATGCACCTTTTCACGCATTGACGGTCTCAGCCGCCGGCGGGGATAATGTGGACACTTTGTTTCCAGGCGCCGCGCGCGAGCTGCGGACGCCTAGGGGAGGCGGCCCTGAGCAGGGAGGGGGGATCTGGAAATAAAGACCTCGGGCTTTCCTGAGTGCCCGGGCCCTCTCTTCCCTTTGTTCAAAGACTCCCTGGGCCAGAGCTCCCTCGTGCGCCCTGGGGGGTGGCATATGGCGCCCTGTCACCTACCCAAGAAAAAGAACCGGCCACCCTTTCAAGAGCGCACGAGGTCCCTGGGCCTGGGGAGGGGGAGTCTCTGAGGGAACGGCTTCTCTCCGAAAGTGGGTGAGGAGTGCGCCTTATCTCTCCCCACCCTGCCTCCACCATCCCCTCAGCTGGCGCAGCAGCCGTTGGGTGGGGAGCTGCGCGCTGAGCAGCACCAGACTGCGGAAGCGCTCCAGCTCCTGGCAGATGAAATATGGGTCTGGTGAGCCCCTGGAGACCATATGCTTTCAATAAAAGAAGACAAATAGGACCGAGATAGGCCTTGCAGCCAACCTGTTATAAATGAGTGGCAATTGGGCCAATGTACACGGGGGCAGGGCCCCCGGGGGGAGGCCTGCTCTGTGCCAAATCCATGTGTCAGCTTCTGGGACAGGTGTGCCCAGGGGCCAGGGGCCAGGTCTCCCCCCTCCGGGTTTATCACGGCAAAGGTAATATTGTGCTAACTATGAGTAAACAGTCATTGTGAAAATGAGGGAGAGTTTATCAGAGGCGAACTAGTTGGGGGTGGCTTAACAATAAAGTTGTTCGCCTTAGGAGCAGGTGACGGCTGGCTGCACGGACTCCCGCGGTAGATGTTTTCCAAAGCACTCCACTTTACAATCTCTTGTAATTATTTATTAAACGAAATCTATTTATTATTATTTTAGCAAACACTGGAGACAGGTGGGGCTTTCTTTTCGTCGTCTCCTTTTGTTTGAAGGGCTGTTTGAAGTGGCCAGTCTCGGCCCGGGCAGCTCGCTCGCCAGATTTTTGTCTTCCCCTCTTTCACTGCTGAGCTGAAGGCGAGAGAAAGAATCCCCCTCCTCTGGCAAGTCATTAGCTATTCAGCTTCCCATGGCCCCCCTCCCTCCCTGCACAACTCTCAAAGAGCCCCCAGGCAATGCTAAAACTACCCCCGCCGACAAGAAGGCAAGAAGGCTGGCCGCTGCCTTCCTTCTTTTCCAATGTGCCCGCTGTCTCCAGGCCTCTGGCTACCGCCTCTCTCCGGGACCCCGTCAGCCTCCAGGCAAACTTAGATCTCAGGAGGTGTAGGGGTGCGGGAGTCCTGGAGGTCTTAGGGGCGGTGGATGACCAGGAGCTGCAGGAACAGACTCTGCTCTCTGCGGGAAGAGCGATTTCACAAACATTGCCGGTGCGCACGGAGTCATTACCGCCTGCGCCTCAGCAGCCAAAGGCACAGGAATTAACTTTGGAGAGGGGTCTATGCCTCCCCTGCAGCTGAGACAGAGGGCATGAATCCTCAATCTCTAATCCTCTAAGACTCCTTGACCTCCGGCCCTGGCCTCCTGGCTGGAAGAAGGCTGCGGGAAGTCCTTGCATCCCTCAAGAAGGCGGTTGCCCCCAGCCACCGCGCGCTCCTGGCCTTGGCTGCTTTTTGCGCAAAGCAGGAGTGATGGAGAACTGCAAGCCCTGGAGGGCCCTGAGCCGGAGGGGTTTGGGGGAGGCTGGATAAGAATTCCAAGCAGATCCCAGAATTCTCTACCTATCAAGAAAGCTTGAAAGAATCCCCAGAGTCTTTCCTGGCATGGGAAGCTCACCCTGCCAACCTCCTCAGTATCCATTAGCCACTCCAGGCAGGCCCTGGCCAGAGTGAAACCCACCTCTATCTGAGGTCCACCTACCCCCATCTGAGGTCCACTGCCAGATGAGAGTCATCCACAGGCCTCTGGGAAACAAGAGCAGTACTTGGATCGCTCATGGCCAGGGTTCCCTCCATGGAGCTTAGCCAGGTCAGGAGAACCTAGAGAAGCATGGTTTGGATTTTCTCTCCCAGGCCCAAAAGCTCCAAGTTGGTTCTCTCCCAGTTTCTGATTTGCAGGTAAATAAATCAAGTAAGGCTGGGGTATGAGGCAGACAAGTTTGGAGGAGGAAGAGGAGGAGGAGGAGGAGGAGGAGGAGGAGGAGGAGGAGAAGGAGAAGAAGAAGAAGAAGAAGAAGAAGAAGAAGAAGAAGAAGAAGAAGAAGAAGAAGAAGAAGAAGAAGAAGAAGAAGAAGAAGAAGAAGAAGAAGAAGAAGAAGAAGAAGCAGCAGCAGCAGTGGCAGCAGCAGCAGCAGCGGTGGCAGCAGCAGCAGCAGGGGCAGCAGCAGCAGCAGGGGCAGCAGCAGCTTGAATGGATGCTGGCTCCCCTTGCCTGGAAAATGGGACCATTACTTCTTTTCTGATCTGACCCCCAGACTCAGGACTTCCTCTGTTTTCTGCATTTTGGGATCTGTTGTTTTGCCTTGAAAAAAAAAATGTTTTCCCCCAAATCAAGGAGGGGTTGCTGGTTCAAAGGGAAAATCTGGGACTAGGAGTCTGAAGATACGACTTCTGTGTGGTTCTGATAGAACTTGCTGTGTGACCTTGAGAGAGTCACTCCCCCTCTCTGGGCCTTGACTTTTTCATCTTTAAAGAAGGCCTGGAATTCCCATTCTTTTGAGGAGAAGACAAGTTCCTAGCCAGTGGTGACCTAAGGGAGGAGCTGCAGCAAAATGCTACCCCGACAGTCCCAGATGGTCCCTTTGTTGATTCTGACCCTGGTCTCAGGCTTCATTTCCCTACAGCAAGGGAAGGAGCCTCTGCTCACAGAGCACCTTCTAAGATTGGCAGGACTGCGCCACACCCCCGCCCAGTCCTAGAGCACCCCTCTCCCTGGTTCCTGAGCACATCACCCTCTTCCTTGGAGGAAAATTTGCCCCCAAGCAGCCTGGGCGGTAAGAGGCTATCACTAGGGCAGACTCACAGACCTACCTCATCCCCTCACCCCACCCTACAGTCTCGAAGTCGAGTCCTGTCCCCTCCTGCAGTTTCCGGGAGACTCAGGATATCTGGATCCGCTGGAAAGTGAAGCCTTCCTCGCCTAAGGAGACTTAAACCCGGATACTTAACCCCCCCGGCCTCGGCTTCTTCCTCCAGGCACGATCGGGTCAAGAGAGAGAAGCGGAAGCTGCAACCCCTCACCCTGAGTGACCGGAAGCAGAAGACCACGGGATGTCCCAGGCGGGGACAAGAGGAGGGGCTGGGGAAGAAAGGAGGGATGATGAGTTCAGACTCCCTTTGGAAAGGTTTCCAGAGAGCGCTACCAGGGGCAACCCCAGGGGCTTGGGGAGTCCCTACCTTGTGCTCACTGTGCGATGCCCTAGTGATGCCGAGGCAGGGGGCTGGAGCAGGTGACTGCTGGCAGCCGCTGTCTGTCTGTGATTGGACCGAAGGACTAAGGGGAGAAAAAGTTTATCTGCTTCTCCCAGTGCCTGCACACCGTGATGGTTCAAAAGACACAAGGGGGAGGGGCGCCGCGGCTCTGCTTCCCAGCGCTTTGGGAGACTGAAGTGAAAGGAACGCTTGAGCCCAGGAGTTCGAGACCATCCTGGGCAACAAAGCAAGACCGCCCCTGCCATACAAAATAAATTAGCCGAGCACAGTGGCGCACGCCTGTAGTCTCAGCTACTCAGAAGGCTGAAGTGGGAGGATAGCTTGAACCTAGGAGATCGAGGCTGCAGTGAGCCGTGATTGCACCACTGCAGTCCAGCCTGGGTGACAGAAGGAGACCCTGTTTTGTTTTTGGTTTTGGTTTTGGTGTTTTTCTGTTTGTTTTTGTTTTTTTTGTTTTTTGGGGTTTTTGGTTTTGTTTTTGTTTTTGTTTGTCTGTTTAAAAAAAAAAAAAAAGACGCAAGAGCTCACTGTGAACTCCTGGTTCCTTCCTCCCCTCCTCACACTTCCCAGAACTCTTCCTGTCACGGTTCCTAGACAGAATGCTGGGATACTATCCACAAGCTGTAGTAGGCTTGTAATAATGGAATGTCCCCTTGAGGGGTCCCCCCCACAGTCACCCGCTGCCTCTGGAGTGAGATCTATGGGGGTGGGGTTCTAAGCGCCTCTGGGGAGGGTGAGGTAGCATTTCAGGGTGTGGCAGAGGCTCGGACACCCCCAATAGAAGGTCTGTGAATGGAAGGGACATAGGCAGGAGCTCTCTCAGTGATGGCCCTTGTCTTCCAGGATGAAGAGAGGCAGTGAAACACCAGGAGAGCAGGGCGTACTTTAGAATAATTCCTGGACCCTTCTCCAGGCTGCTAGTCAGGACAACGAGCTCCTGGTTGTCTCCGCCACTATCTTGCTATGCGATTTCGGACAAGCCATCTCCCTCACTAAGCCTAAATTTCCCCATGTGTAACGTGTGGGCATTGTACACTAGAGGCATCAAAGTCCCCTCCAGGACAGATGCTAAGTAAAGATAGGCTAGGAGCAAAGCGGTCTGGGGTGGCCAGACGAGAGCCACACGAGGCCCTTCTCACTGGGCGAGGCTCTTTGAGGAACTGAGAGTTGCTGGGACCCAGCCCGCGGCGAGAGAGCAAACAGAGCGGCGCTCCCCTCCCCCGACCCCGGCCCTTTGTCCGGAATCCAGCTGTGCCCTGCGGGGGAGGAGCGGGCTCGCGTGGCGCGGCCCCAGGGCCCTGGAGCTGATTGGCCGGTGGCGCGGGCAGCAGCCGGGCAGGCACGCTCCTGGCCCGGGCCAAGCAGATAAAGCGTGCCAAGGGGCACACGACTTGCTGCTCAGGAAATCGCCGCGGTCTCACCTCCGCGCCGCGAGAGAGAGCGCGACAGAGGCCCGGGACCCCATTCTCTCTTCTTTTCTCCTTTGGGCTGGGGCAACTCCCAGGCTGGGGCGCCTGCAGCTCAGCTGAACTTGGCGACCAGAAGCCCGCTCAGCTCCCCACGGCCTAGCTGCTCATCGCTCTCTATTCTTTTGCGCCGGTAGAAAGGTAACATTTGGAGGCCGCCGAGGGACGGGCAGGGGAAAGAGGGATCCTCTGACCCGGCGGGGGCTGGGAGGATGGCTCTTTTTGTTTTTTTCCACCTAGCCTTGGAATCGCGGACTGCGCCCAGTGACAGACTCAAGCTTACCCTTCCCTCTGACCCCGCCGTAGGATGACGCCTCATCCCTCGGGTGCGTCCACTGTCCAAGTGACCGGTGAGACGGAGCGGTCCTTCCCCAGAGCCTTGGACGACGAAGTGACCTGCCCCACGTCCGCTCCGCCCAGCCCCACTCGCACACGGGGGAGCTGCGCGGAGGCGGAAGGGGGAGGCTGCCGAGGGGCGCCAAGGAAGCTCCGGGCACGGCGCGCGGGACGCAGCCGGCCTAAGAGCGAGTTGGCACTAAGCAAGCAGCGACGGAGTCGGCGCAAGAAGGCCAACGACCGCGAGCGCAATCGAATGCACAACCTCAACTCGGCGCTGGACGCGCTGCGCGGTGTCCTGCCCACCTTCCCAGATGACGCGAAGCTCACCAAGATCGAAACGCTGCGCTTCGCCCACAACTACATCTGGGCACTGACTCAAACGCTGCGCATAGCGGACCACAGCTTCTACGCGTTGGAGTCGCCGGCGCCGCACTGCGGGGAGCTGGGCAGCCCAGAAGGCGGATCCCCCGGGGACTGGGGGTCCCTCTACTCCCCAGTCTCCCAGGCTGGCAGCCTTAGCCCCGCCGCGTCGCTGGAGGAGCGCCCCGGCCTGCGGGGGGCCACCTCTTCCGCCTGCTTGCGCCCAAGCACTCTGGCTTTCTCAGATTTTCTGTGAAGGGACCTGCCTGTCGCTGGGCTGTGGGTGCCAAGGGTAAGGGAGAGGGAGGGAGCCGGAGCCCTAGAGGGTGGCCGATGGCGGCGACCCTCAAAAGCACTTGTTCCTTCTGCTTCTCACTGGCTGACCCCTGGCTGGCCCAGGCCTCCGCGGGGGCTGCAGGCTGGGTTCATTCCCCGGCCCTCCGAGCCGCGCCAACTCACGCAGCCCTTGCTGCCCGCGCGAAGTGGGCATTGCAAACTTCGCTCATTTTAGGCCTCCTCCCTGCCACCACGCCATAATCTCATTCTAAGAGTACGAGAATGGTAGCTCTACCCGGCCGGAGCCGCCTACCGTCTCGGGTCGCCCTACCCTCACTCAAGTCTGTCTCTCAGTCTCTTACCACCCCTCCTCCAATGTGATTCAATCCAATGTTTGGTCTCTCAGCGCTTGCTCCCCTTGCCCTGCTCCAAAGACGCTGCCGACCTTCTCTACTCCCAATCAGGTCCGGGGTTTCAGGGCGCCTCACTCTGCCTTAAAGCCACGAAGGCGACCCTCTGCCTTCTCCTCGTGCACTTTTCGGAGCCATTGCCCTCCCGGGGCGGAAGACCAGGCTATGAACTGGGAAAGCCCAGCCCGGCCAGGGAGCACCTCCCCAGCCTCCCTGCGAGCTGCGCCTGAAACGTGAGCTGCGCTGCAGGTGCCTGGAGCACCGCGCATGTTTTTTGTTTTGTTTTGTTTTTTTAATCGGTTTGTAAATTATATGATGTCTTTTGAAATCAAGTTTGGTACAGTAAATTATATGCCCCCCCCCGCGCCGTTTTACACATTTGTATTTATTAATGAGATTTCACAGCAAGGAAAAGTCTATATTTTGTATATTAGATTATTTAGGGATTGCTGGGTGAGATTTTAAGCCAATTAAAAAAAAATGGACCTTCAGGAAACCTTGGCAAGGTGACTTCATTGTGCGTTGGGGAGAGGAGAGCTACAGTCACTACAGTTGAGGAAGAGCACCTCTGTCCAAGGAGAGGGATGACACTCTTTCTAGAGGTCTGGACTAGAGCCAGGGCAGATTGGGTTTGGAGAGCTGGAAGTCTTATAAGTAATTATTGGTCCAGCCCCCTTTTTTCTATGTAGGGCAATGAATCCTCTTATTTCAAAGAGCGGTTTAGAAGAAAGACAAGCCTCCAGCTAGGACTACTGACTCTCACTTGCTGGCCCTTTCCCCAACTCCACCAGCCTAGCTCTAGAGCAACTGTCGGGGAAGGCAGACAGTAATAATTCAATTGCAGACTCAGAGTCCTTTGAAACACAGCTGGGCTGGGCATCCTAGGAATTTTCCCAAGGTGCTTAGAGGCCTAGCACATCCCCTGAGCATATTTTACTCAGGCACTGAGGTGGCTGTGTCTTGAACTTGTTGAGCTGAGCAGCCAGGAGCAAAGAAAGTGGAGTGTCTGACTGGAATCTCCAGCAACACCCCCTCCCTCATTACCTGGCAGCCTTGATTGAAAATTTATCAAGAAACTGTTCAAGGTTTCCAGCCACACCATCTCTCTTACTGGCAAGGTGGAAGGACTGGTGCAGCATGGGCACTGAAATCTGTCCCAGGAGTGCCAGTAGAACACCCCTACATGACTTCAGGGACCCTAGGACCTCAGAGAATATGGTCTAAGCTGTAAGGATCCACAGAGTTCGCCTGGTGCTTGGGAATAGGAAAGTGGAGGACAGGCACCCTACCTGCTAGTTGAACTCCAGAGACCTCCTTGAATTGGCCAGGGGTGTCCTGGGAAGAAGTGGGCCAACCCAGGTCGGGTGTGGTGCTGCCAGACCCCCGGAGCTGGTGGAGAGGTTGCTTTTCCAGCACATTAGAGTGCAAAGGTGATGTCTTCTCAGGGGTTAATGCCTCTTGCATCTCTTTCTCTCCTATGCCCTACCCAATTCAAATGGAAATTTTCCCTTCTCTACCATAAATCTGTAAAGTTAGCTCAGAGGAGACTTGTCTCAGTTATCAGCCGCAGGATTTGAGGGCGGGAAGAGGGACACAGCAAACAAACGAATGAACGAAGGTGTTGTTTCATTTTGTGGCTTTAATCTGGGAGGAGGAGATTAATGGGTTATTGATGACCTCTGCAATAGCCAACTTTCCACCTGGGGCACCGCCTGGGGACAGGTGTCAGCAGCTTGGGAGTTGCACAAAGCAAGCAAACACCTGTGATTTGCTGGGTGTTGGGGGTACGGGGTGGGCAGACATAAAAATCAAGAAGGTCTCTTTATCCTCTCAGGACAGTAGCAAGGATATAGACACAATCACTCAAGGCCCAAGAAATATTGGTGGTTGGGGGAGGTATGAGCCG